TATCTCTCGCTTTCTATCTCTCTGTCTCTGTCTTTCTGGTGAGCACACACACCCTATAGCAAAAATCTCTCAAGAAAAAAAAAAAAAGAAAAAACATTTTTAGGGGCTGGCAGGTGGCATGGTGGTTAAGCATGCTGGACTCCCACATGGCCGACCACAGTTCAAGTCCCAGACCTGGCGGCTTGCTTTCACACTTTCCTTCTCTCTCTCTCACTCCGTCCATCTCTGGTCAAATTAAAAATAAATAAATAAATAAAGTTAAATAAAACAATTATTTTTAAAAATAAAGAAAAAAATCTTTAAATTTTCAATCTTATTGACTATCCACTATTGTAAGATTATGATTTATTGTATTTTTAATATAAACTATTCATACTCTCCTTACAACTAAAACTATATTAAGACTATTTATTTTTCCCACAATTTATGGGTTTTATTTCTTTTCATCTATTTTGTGAGTTGTGCCTTTTCTTTTTCCATCATCAGAAATTTCTTTAAAAAGCCGCAGGATTTGTACAAAATTAAATCTAGGAAATTTAAAATTCTAAAATAAACACCATGTCTTTGTTTTTTTTCCCTTTTTTTTAGGGGGGGGGAGAGGTTTATAGGGCACGTGCACTGGCCAGAAAGACAGAGAGACAGAGAGATGAAGAAAAGCAAGAAATCACCCTCCAGGTGGGATGGCCACACCACAATCCCTTCTCCCCCATTCTCCTCTCGGGATCTTGGGCACACACGCACACACACACCTGGCATGAGTTTAAGCTGCTTGGGTCCGGGACTCAAACCACGGTCAACTACATGGGAGTCCAGCGGCATAGCCATTATGCTAACTCTTGGTCCCAATACCACGTCTTTGTGAAAGCTACATTTTTTTCTCTCTTTCATGTCTAACGATTAATCTATCTAGTTTAAGCACATGATGTACACATGTGAAATATAGACACTTATATTTTCATTGGACCTTCTTTCTTCACAGATTTCAAAGTTTCCATGGGTCATCCTACTTATTCCTATAAGTCCCTCTAGGACAGAATAAAGGTCGAGCTCTCAGTGCATGATCTTAATGGCTGAAGTCAAAAAGAAAGACGATTTTTTCTTGGCTTTTTTTTAAAGAATTATTTCATTTAATTTTATTTATCTATTTATTTATTTTGTTAATTTGACCAGAGAGAGACAGAGCAAAAGAGAGAGAGTGGGAAAGTGAGAAAGCAAGCCACCAGGTCCAAGATTCAAACCACGACCAGCCATGTGGGAGTTCAGTGCTCTTAACCACCATGCCACCTGCCGGCCTGAGAACGTTGAATTTTTCTACAGACAAAAGAGGAGCCCATGGGTTCGGAGCTGAGACCTCCTGCCAAGTACTTGTAGCACACAAGTGAGCTATTTGGGGAGTGAATCCTCCAGCCCCATTTAAGAGTTCAAATGACTGCGGTCCCAGCAGACTTCTTGACTAAATCTACTTGAGAGCCCTTAAATGAAAACCATCCAGCTAAGCTACTCCCAAATTCCTGATGAACAGAAATGGTATAAAATAATAAACACTTATTATTGTTTTAAGCTACTAAGTTTTGGGGTAATTTGTTAAACAGAATCTTTTTGGTTTTGCTTTTGTTTCCGTTTTTGTTTGTTTGCTATAGTGCACATGTGTTTGCCAGAGAGAGACAGAGAGGAAGTGAGAAATCACCCCCTGGAAGGATGGTCACAGTGTAATCCATTCTCCTCCATTCTCTTGTCAGGGACTTGTTACGCACGCACACACTCCAGCATGATTTTCTCTTCTTTTCTTTTCTTTTGAGACTTTTTTGCTCTAGGGTGCATGCACTCACCAGAAAGACAGAGACAGAGAGACAGAAAGTGAAAAATTACCCCCCAGGTGGGATGGTCATGCCGCAATCCCCTCTCCTCCATTCTCCTCTCGGGATCTTGGGCACACACGTGCACATGCCCGGTGTGAGTTTAAGCCACTGGGTCCAGTACTCGAACCGTAGTCAATTACATGGGAGTCCAGCAACATAGACATGATTTTCAAGCTGCCATCTCCAGGACTCAAACTGTGCAGCTGGTCATGTGGGATCCAGCCATCTTAAACTTTATGCCACCTGCTGGCCCCTGTTACCCAAAATATTGAATCCATAGTACTTTAGGAAAATACAGAGATGGGGTGGTGTTATTAAGTATCATGATGCCACTGGCAGAAAAGGAACTCAGCAGTAGAACATCGAAGCCAGGGGTGACTGGGGGAAACATAAACCCCTTTAAGAATCCTCAAAGATAGGGGACCTGCAGGTGGTATGGTGGTTAAGGCACTGAACATTCACAACCACATGGCCAACCACAGTTTGAGTCCTGGACCTGGTGGCTTGCTTTCTCACTTTATCTCTCTCTCTCTCTCTCTCTGGTCAAAATATAAACATAAATGAAAGAATAAATAAATAAAATTTTTTAAAAAGAATCCTCAAAGATAGTAAATGGGATGGGAAGTGTCTCCACAAGGAGGGAGAAGCATTTTATTTAAATATTAAATTATACACAGCTAGCATTGTTTTAAAGGAAAGAATACAGGAGCACTATTTGAGAAATGGAAACTGCATTTGCCAAGGCATGTCAATATTCTGGACATCAGTTAATCACTACACTTTAGCTGAGCCAGAAAACATCCGAGCTCATAGCCAGATAACAGATTACTGTGTTTGACCGGCTGTCTCTATTTTCCTCTCTTTAAATAAAAATATGGGAGAGTTGTGGAGCAAGAGTGTTTATAGTCAATGAAGTTACACTTTTAGATTTCTTACAGATAAGCTGAACTATAAAACTGTATCTTTATAGTCAAAGAGAGATGTAAAAGCTATAGAACTCTCTGGCACATTTCTGATCTATTCAGATAGCTGTCCCTTCCTAAACAAATACTTTCCTAATCAGAGAAATTATAATAAACATCCCAGAAGACAGAAGGTATGGCTTAGAAGCTTGATCTTCATGACTCATGCTTCTGGATTAAAAAAAAAAAAAAAAAAAAAAGCTTGAAAAGACTGGCTCCATGGCCCGATAAAGGCAGCAGGATCCTACAGAGGGAACCATGTGGTTTGAATCCTGGCCCTGGCAACTTGAAAAATACAGCGAGTGTGTGTGCCTGCTCAAATCCCAAGACAATGGTGCAGCGTGACCACACTCCATTGGAGAGGGGGATGCTTTCTACCTCTCCCTTTTTTTCCCTCCGGTGAGCACATGTGCCCTCAGTCAAAAAACAAAAACAAACAGACAAAAAACACTTGAAAAACCCAGGCCATCATGATCAGAAACAGAGTTCAGAGAGATGTGGACTGGCATCAGAAGTATGATTCCTGAATCTCGGCTTTTCTGGTGTGTTAAAACTTGCTACATAAGACTGGATAGGGACCAGCAGTTAGCGTAATGGCTGTGTCGCTGGACTCCCACATAGTCGACAGGTTCGCATCCCGGACTCGGTGGCTTAAAACTCATGGCAGGCACGTGTGCGTGTGTGCCCAAGATCCCAAGAGGAGAATGGAGGAGAAGGGATTGCGGCGTGGCCATCCCCCCTGGGGGGTGATTTCTCGCTTTCTATCTCTCTGTCTCTCTC